ATGTGTATTTTAGTCTTTCAAGTTTATGTCGAAATATGTCTAGAAACCTTGAAAAAATCCATTAGTCATAGTGCTTTAATCTTTTCACGATATACTCAAACATTGTAAACTTATACTTTTCCTTTACTGGGGTAGTCGGAAAAGTAAAATCAATTTTTAACATGGTTGACCAATTATTGAAATCATAAGTACATTTTTGTTATAATTTAATATTTATACTATAAGTGAATGTACAAAGTATATAAATAAATAGATAGTCTACAATTTTAAATAGCGAACCTATAATCATCAAATCTTAAATCAGGCCAAATCTTAGAGAAATCTGTTTAAAATGTTACAAAGGACAGTAATCTTAGAATGACCGAACTCTGTTTATCAGTTTGATTTTAGATTTGCGATCGAAACTTAATATTATGTACAGCAATAACAGAGTATCTTTCTTATATTAAACCTGTTCTCAGTGTAATAGAACTAGATCAATGATTATTGCAGTTCGATGCGATACATATATGTATTTGTGCCAAATGAGATATTGTCTACCTATATACGTTCACGTTTTATTGATTTAACGTACCACTCGCCCAATATTGATTTGAATATTTCAAGTGGCAAAGTTACCGCGCAAACTTCAATATTTGCTGTCCACTTGTTATAAATGACTGATGAATTTAGACCACGTACGGTTACTACGACACAGTGAATTGCAAGGTATTGTTTGTTTGCACATGGTTTTGGAATTTGGAGTCGATTGTCATCAGTTGCACATGACAAGTGCTTGTTTTTCATCGTTGTGGCATAAAAAAGTTCAACCACTCAGTTCCGTTATTCAAATATTTTTTGTACGCACTGTTTATTTTCTCTAGTTTGCGATGGGGTTCAGAATTTCAGTCTTTAAATCATACTACGTCCATGATAAATAAGGATTATGATTTATTTCATATACTATCTAATCCGTCAAATGTTGTTTACCGCCTTATTAGTTACTTTTATTGAAATAAAATATGTCAGGTTGAAGAAAACAATACATTGTATATTTACAAAACTGCATTAAAATCTGTCGACAGGTTTTGGGAATTAGTATAAAGATAATATGACTAAAAAAATTAATTTTGTTTTCTATTTTCACCTTTAATATGGGTATGATATATTAGGTATCGTACCATACATTTTTATTATTAAACTAGCTGACCCCGTAAACGTTGTTTTACCACTTATTGCGAAATATAAAAATCGCGATTAAAATACAGGGGTTGATCGTAAAACGATGAAAATTTAAAGTTGTATGTATTTTTCAATGCTAAATCATATTTAAATAAAATTAAAAACATTGTCAAAAAAATAAAAAAAAAAATTTTAGGGGTGGGTCACCCTTATCATTGAGGGGTATAAAAAATAGATGTTGGCCGATTCTCAGACCTACCGAATATGCACACAAAATTTTATGAAAATCGGTAAAGCCGTTTAGGAGGAGTTTGGTAACAAACACCGTGACACTAGAATTTTATATATTAGATATAATACACAGTTTTTTGAAAAGGATATAAAAAAGTACTTGTGTTTCTGCTGTAGCTGAAGTTTAGTGGAGTAAAAATAAACTACTGCATAATGAACTCTTCTTTGATCACGGAAATTGGTACAAAATTTTATAACACGGTCGTCATGACAGACAAACAAAGTTCAGCACGTACTGTTCTTAAAACTATTTTTAAATTCACTGCATTTACTTTTTGGCATACAATAACGTTTTAAATCTATATATAACAGTGTCTCTATAAGATTTTTTACAAAAGGATCTCATCTCTATAAGTTCTTTTTAGATTTTGAATAAAAAAAAAAGGTATTTATAATATGGATCTACATTATGCAAATAGTATGTTAAGACTTAAAATACTACTACTCGTATTTCAATTCTGATTTGTCGAGGATTTACTTTAAAATATTTATAATAATAATTTATTTATTTGCTCGAAATGTGGTAATAATAATGGTCTTAATTATAATAGATCTACACATTTCGCCTTATCTAAAGGCATGCAAATTTAGTATTATAATTTAGTAGTAGGATCAATCCATAAATATTGGCAGCCGCACACATACTAATGGTAGCAGACTAAACAAATACAAATACAAACTGAACAAAAACAAATACATAACAAGTCAATAATATAACAAATGTCATACAAATGAATTACACATTTACATACATACATTTAATTTTTTAAAAAGTCATTTATTGAATAAAAATTGCATTCCAGTAACCATTTTTTTAACCGCAATTTAAAGTGACTTACTGGTAGTTCTCTTATTGATTTTGGTATTTTATTATATATTTTAATAGTCATTATATCATACAACAAGTAATCCAATATATTTTTTACTCTACAGCTAGTAATGTAATTCTCATTTTTATGATCATTATGTTTCATTAGCCCTTGTTCTACAATCTCCAAACCGTCAGAGCGTGGCACATTGTTTCATGGTTTTCTTCCAGCTTTGATACGTAAACCTTGCGAGCGGTTAATGACATCTTTATTGCCAGTGTAATAAGGTTCATAGACCGTTGGGTATGGGTCGTGTATTAGCTGATATTACGTAGTGTTATGGGCGTATATGTGGGTCGCGATATTTCGCAGCGTGGGTGGTTTCCTATCGAAACTATTCATCAGTATAGTGTATGAATGCAATCATTGCTCCTATTGGTTTATTAGTCAAATTGATTATACAATATTAGTATTTTTTCTTTAACTCAATTCAATAAAATTCAATTATTTAGTTTTATCGATCGTGGCGATCTAATCAAGTAGATTAACCGTTTCCTTCGTTCGACATTAATTCATTATTCGAATTTCTTATGGAAATTTAACTCTTTAGTATTCTTTACTATATTAATTTATACTTCGATGGAAAATTTCATTTCCTACGCTCATTTGTTTCTCGTGCTAATCAGTCAGTCAGGTTTTTTATATATCTACGCGTTAGGTACGATTAGATTGTTAAAATGACTATTATTATGTTCAGTATGTAAAAGTAAGTTTTTTTTTATACAACTTAGAATGGCAAACAAGCTGACGGCCCAACCTGGTGGAAAGTGGTAACCGTCGTCTATAGACATGAGCAGTACCATGCACATAACAGAGTATACTATTTCGCCCATGATACCCCCATGCGTTGACATTCCTGAGGACTCAGGTGTTATTCCTCTTTACCCTGTAAATTCACTGCAATATCCCACCCTTCAAACTACTTCAAAGTACTTTTTACTCTAAGATTTATGACATGAAATTGTATGTACTCGTATGCACTAGTTTCTAAAGTGACGAAAGTGCGTTATGTCGCGCCAACATCTGTGCAAACATAATTGACCTTCGTTGACACCGACTATGATTGTCGCAAAATAAAAGCGCACGTAGGTATGTTAGCGATCTTATAAACGTGTTTGATCTTTTGACGAGATCCATAAACATGACGCTATTTTGATTGAGAACAAGCTCTCCGACAAGATCATCGATGTTAAACACGAGAATAATAGCTACAAACAACCTGTCATTAGTTTTATCTACTTCTAGTAGTTCAATCTTAAACTATGTAATAGAAATTTATAGATTTTTCTAGTGTCTTGGCAACTAAGTTTCAGTTTAGTTTTATCCATAGATATGCTCATGGGTTGGATCTTAAAGTATATAATATGAACTTATTTTAATATATTTTCTAGTACCTTGGCAATATAGTTTCAGTTTATTATTAAATCTAGTTTACTGAATGTAATGTAATATCTAGATAGATACGTAGGTAATTTGAAACATTCCGTTTTCGCAACCGATCCGTTCTCAACATTGACAGTCCACCTATTTTTAGAAGTGATTTGAGTGGTAGTTAATTTACCGAAATAGCAAGTCATTATCGATCTTTTGATCATTCTAGAGTACCTAGGTATTATAGTAATGCTCTTATTATGTTTATTAATTCCATTCATTCAGCAGTCCATGCATTGTAAATGTACTAGTATTGTTTTTACAAGAATTATTTCTTAAAATCATTAGACTAACGTTATAATCACTATTTTGTTCTACTATCAATTGACATGTAGCACTGAGTTACAAGTATCAAAATGTAAATTTAATCCACAATTATAATTACCTATTTAGATAAGCAAGTATTCTACAAATAACATTAATTTCGATACTGGCTCTGTTATTTAGAGTTGTTCATTTTAAAGTAGTAAACATTTTTAATTATGCTGGTAAAGGAAGTAACGCGTGTTGTGAAATATCGTATATGGCAAGTCCTACAAGGTTTTCGAATGAATGGTGCGGCATTGTGTGCGTGTTAGCAAAAAAGCCGTTATCAAAATGGCGGTGCTCACTTGGGCCGCCATTGCGGCGCGCGGTCGTTGACGCGGCTGGCTAGACGTAGTCGTGGCGCGTCCTATTGATTCATGTGGCTTCATACGTACGGCGACCTCTTACTGTAATCTCAAATAACTGGGTTTTAGTGTAGTGATTATAGATGGCGTTCTTCTGTATATTTGCTTTTCACGTGTTACTTTTTCTTAGCCACAAATGTTATGATAGGTCAATAGATGTAGTGTTTTAGGCCCTATTTGTGATTGTTGAGTATGATATATAAATAGTTTCTTCAATAATTTTTGTTAGACATTGTTTTTATGGTAAACTCTTATAAGAAACGGTCTAGTTCCTTATAGCAGTCTGTGGAGTAGGTCACGTTCATGCATAACATCATGATGTTTATAATCTTACATTAGTTCGTATCAATATTTATTATAGGTAATTATATTTTTATATAGGCTTAGAGTAGGTCTAAGTACCATCCCGTATTCTTGAAATATTTTTCATGACAAGTATTGACATTAACATTTTGCTGTTCCAATTACGGTTTTTCATTGAAATTTTCAAACCTTGGTTAACAATGGTACCTATATTACCTCGTCTAGAAGTTTTAGCTTTACTGTAATAAATCACGTTTATTTTCATTGTTCGCAGTGTAAAGACTTCGAGAAAGTCGGCGCCACCATCGCCGTTACACCGTGCGATGTCGTCGAGGAGTCGGACATCACGTTCTCCTGCGTCGCTGATCCGCAAGCGGCCAAAGAGGTGAAGTGATCTTTAATAATATGATAATAAAGTCTACATTGCTAATATTAATATAATGATCTTATGGGTTTGGTATTTTATGTGTAACTTAGAATGGTAAATAAGTTGCCCAACTAATTTGTTGGTTAAATTGGTAATTGCCTAAAGACATGTCCAACGTAATGGCATTGCTCACGGTATCCCTTTTTTTTTATACAACTTAGAATGACAAACAAGCTGATGGCCCACCTGATGGAAAGTGGTAACCGTCGCCTATAGACATGAGCAGTACCATGGACATAACAGAGTATACTGTTTCGCCCATGATACCCCCTATGTGTTGGCATTCCTAAGGACTCAGGTGTTATTCCTCTGTACCTAATAAATTCACGCCATATCCCACCCTTCAAACCGAAACACAGCCATGCAAACACAACTGCTTCACGGTTGAAACACGAATGGGACAGAGGTACCCAAGCAATCGACTTTTGTACAGAGTCTTCCTCTGGTAAATGTCATGCCTGTGGCTTAATGTGTCACATTCACTCATTATTCATTTTATTTACTAGCATTGTCGATAAGTATTTCGTTTTCATAATACCATTAGCAGTTTTTATATAAATCTTTAAATCTGAAGTTACCGATCCGTTAAATACGTTATCTAAGTTTACCATTGTTAACTGACAATAGATATCATTGCGTACATCTCAAACTAATTCTTTAAATTTAACTCATCCGTATCCAATTGGGAATTAAAAGCGTTCTACCAGTTGTTTTTATTATGTAATTTATTTTAAGATTTCAGCGTTTGAATAGAGACGATCGCAGTTAAAGTAGCTCAGACAACTAACATGAAATGCTTTGTGCTCTCTTATAGTTGCCTATACAATTTTAGGTTTAGTCCAATAAAAGAGTAAGTTTGGATTTGTAATTGCAATTTCACAAATTTGGTTTTATATAAACACTGCTTTTTACTCGCGACACTGTGACCATGGTATGACCAGGTTGCCTGTAAGAGATTGCCTTTAGCGATAAGGCCGCCTTTTGTATATGCACATTCTGTATAAATACTCCTTGTATACATCTCTACTGTGCGCAATAAAGAGTTTATTATTATTATGTTGATTGATGATAACTTAAGTTCTCTATCCTAATAGTAAATATATACTAAATTTCATGACGATTGGGTGAACCGTAAAGGCCCCAGGAGTAACAAACAAACTAGCTTTGATATTCTTAATATTAATAAAAAAAAAAAAAAAAAGATTAATGAATGATTTGATTTACTTGTTTGATGGAATTTAGAATAGTGCTAATGAAACATGCACCTAGCATGTTATATTACGTTCCTAAAGGTGGCCATGGTATCTGTATTTACCAGGTTTTTTTGATTAAGTTTTAATTTAATTTATTTTACATGTGGTTAATGCATAAGGACGATGTTTTAGTCAATTTGTTTATTTTAAATAATAGGCTTAAAGATACCAAATCTAAGTTCCAATGACAAGTCTATAACCTCAACCCTTTCTTTGGTGGAATATGATGCATAATGTTAAAAAAAAAAAATAACGAAATCTTTTGAATGAAAATAGGATAACACTGTATATCAGTGTGTTGGATCTACATAATATGCGTAAACAAGGCACCAGTAAAGGTCAGCGGTCATTCGACGAGGGCATTAGGATATTAACTGATCCACGATTGACCTTTTATGATGGCCTTTAGGGAATGTTAAAATTAATTGACTCCATGTAAAAATCAAAGCGTAAACAAGCCGAATTGCAATCAATTTGAGTACAAATTTTGTGTTTTGGTGCTTTGATGTTCTAGTTTGTACATTTCACTCGTATTGAATGTTTTTATGTTAAAATAATTTCTATGCGTGCTCTGTTTGGATCTTAAAATGTCTTGAGCAATACATTCCGTATTAAATCAAATGTAACATATAAGTGTAATTGTGTCTCTTCTAATTGTTAGAGAAAGGCTTGTTATATAATTATATAATCAATCAGCATGGTTTCTAAATTATTATTACATCCACCGTTAACTGTCCACTGCTGAACATAAGCCTTCCCCATAAGGGACGTGTTGCCCCAGTAGTTTCCACGATTGGCAACCGCAGTTAGACATTGGTGGTGTTTTAACAAAGACGCTAATGCGCATCGCTCGATTATTAAGTTCCCTTAATCGGCTCTTACGACAGCCACGGGATAGGAAGGGGTGGCCCATTCTATGCTTGGAGCATAAGGCATAAGGCGATTGCTAAATATAATAAGTTTTTTTTTATTCAAGTAAACTTAATTACAAAGCATATACATATATATAGTTTACACTGAAGTATCTTTTTTTTTTAGTTTTTTTTTATACAACTTAGAATGGCAAACAAGCTGACGGCCCACTTGATGGAAAGTGGTAACTGTCGCCTATAGACATGATGAAATGCCTGTATCCAGTAAATTCACGCCATATCCCACCCTTCAAACCGAAACACAGCCATGCAAACGCAACTGCTTCACGATTGAAACACGAATGGGACAGAGGTACCCAAGCAATCGACTTTTGTACAAAGTCTCCCTTTGGCAAAATATGATCTCTTTCTTATAGTATCTTTGAGGAAAGTCTTTTGTTTTACTGGTAGAATTCTTCTTTAAAAGGATGTCAATCATTTCGGTATTATCTTGTTATATATATATATATATATATATATATATATATTTTTTTTTTTTTTTTTAAATGACCTAAATATAAATTTTAATCCGAACTTTTGACTTCACTTAAGCTTTCTTCTAACTGAACTTTGATATATTTATTTAGGATAATTAATTTTTGTAGATGGTATTCGGCAACTGTGGAGTCCTACACTGTCCGTCGTTGGAGTCGAAGGGCTACGTGGAGATGACGTCCATAGATGCGGACACGTCCCACGATATTGTCGAAGCCATCAGTGGAAAGGGCGGCAGATATTTGGAAGCGCAGGTAACTTTGATTTATTTATTTATACTTTTGCACACATTAGAATTATGTCTACAGGGCGGACTTAATGCCTGGTGGCATTCTCTACCAGTTAGTCAACCGTTACGCTAAACAGAGAGAGCAAATGGCGATGCATAAATTTTACAAAGCAATTTGTAAATTAAATAAACATTTTGCAAGACAACAACAATTGAATGTATAACATGGCAAAGGTCTTTATTTCCAGAAGATCGTGGGTTTGATCCGTGCACAATACAATAAATGTATTTCAAAGCTTTTATGTAGCACATGTATATATTTATAAAAAAAAATGCATTTTGAATGTCTAATAATTTTTGTTTTTTTAATACAATTATGGTGACAAACATGCATACGGCCCGTCTGATGTTAACGCCTGTGATCGAGTGATTTATAGTATAAGATTGCAATCTTTATCTGTTGTTTGTGTTCTTTTATTCTATATGTTGTATGACGTAAATAAAGTTATGTCAGCCGCTAATTGTCCATTGCCTTCCTCATAAGGGAGGTTTTGACAGTAGTTGCCACGTTTGGCGGACGGGTTGGCAACTACATTTAGTCTTTGGTGATGTTTTACATCAAAGTTTTAAATAAAGCATGCTTCTTTTAAATTTACTCTTAATTAATTAATTAATTTTTTTTTTAATCATTTAGTCATTCATTCAAAGATCCAGACATGAAAACTAATAATCTGTGATAATGTGTCCGGTTGACTATCAAAATGCAATTTAAATGTTTCCGTATTCTCCCTCAGATCCAAGGCTCAAAGACTCAGGCGGAGGAGGGCACGCTGATCATCCTGGCGGCCGGTGACCGCTCGCTGTTCGACGATTGCCAGTCGTGCTTCAAGGCGATGAGCAAGAACTCATTTTACCTTGGTAGTAGTCAGCTTCTCCGGTTGCGAGCGCGAGGAACCTTGGACGTTGACACTTGTCACCGCTGCACCGCTTGCGCTCAGCGCTGCGTTCTAGATATTATAACGCTTGCTCAAACATATCTCTACTTCCCGACACATATAATCTGTTGTCCTTCAAAATTAGAGTGAATAGACATTTGAATTCGTCTGCTATATCTTAGACCGCGTCATCACTTAACATTAGGCGGGACTGTGGTCATACGTGCTTAAATTTTTATTAAAAAAAATATGTATACGTTTTTATGCGGTACATTAATTAATATACAATTTTAGTATTTGCAGTAATATATTATATATTTAATATTATACCAGCCGTTAACTGTTCACTGACCACTGCTAAACGTCTTTCTTTGGGGTTTGCCAAGCTTGGGAAGTGAGCCAAGCTTAACAGTCGCAGTTAGGATTTGGACATGTTTTAAGAAAACTGCTGCTTATCCCATGACCATTATATATATATATATATATATATATATATATATATATATATATATATATATATATATATATATATATATATATAAATATTGACATTTGAAATTCTGCCTAAAACAATTCAATTTCTCATAAATATTTTCGGTTTTTGTTATTTTATATAAAATGAGAACATGAAAATTTATTTCTATTTTTATGTTCCATTTATAGTTGAGAGCTTTCTTTAAGTGTTACATTATTTTATATTTTTATATATCTATAATTTTATTAAATTCATGTACTGTTTAACTTTTAAAAGTACCACTCTTTTTTTTTTATTTTATCCAAGTTAATATTTACTTATCTTCTTAGTATTTTTCATTAGTTGCGCTTAGTAGTTTTTTAGCGCTATGATGTAAGCATAAGCCTAGCCAGATACTTGTTTGGACTAATTTGGGAAAATGTGGCGGTACCTTCTCTCAATTGGTTATTTATTTTTTCAGTTTATTTGTTGTTCCGTATTTATTAATAAAACAACCACATCTTACTTGATACAAACCTCAAATCCACCTATTATAATAATATAAATGTTCATTTTTGTTTTTTTTTGTTCATTCAATTTAAGTTCTAATTTTAATTTTGTTATTTTTTTTTTATTATTTTCTAAGTGTCAACTGTCAAATCCGAGCGTTTAAAAATAGCATGCAAACGGTTTATTTCTGTTTATGTCCTCGTAAAGTAACCTCATATCTTATACATTGGAGATTAAATCCATCGCCTTTCATTATCATTTATCGTAATATTCGATTAGTGTCGCTGGGGTCATCAGTTCTTTCATATTTAAATTCATTCAATATTTACTTACAAGTAAGTTTTGAATGGATTTTAATAGACAAAATTCATTCATTTGTTTTCTTTGCTTTTATTGGTATAAAATTAACAGCCGCTGTCATATTTTATGTCAAAATCTGAAAGTTGCACACTCTAATTGAAAGCCTATATTGGGAAATGATTACACAGTTGTTATTTTTTGACAAAATCTAAAAAAAAAGTTTTTGGAATCTCCAACCTTAATTAGTTCATATCATCATCATATCATCATCATCAGCCGTTAATTGTCCACTGTTGAGCATAGGTCTCTTGCTATTCGGGGGTTTTGCTAGTAGTTGCCACGTTTGGCAAACGGATTGGCAATCACACTTAGACTTTGGTAGTTTAAAAGGGACGCTGCTGATGTTTAACCCTTCTTTGCATAATGGTGGAAATTTCCATCATAACATTGAATGCCCACAAATTATATAAAACAACAAGTTCACTTTAAGTCGATCGTGTCTGGATATCGTTTTAATGTCCATTGCAGAAAAAAAAAAACAAAACATAGCTGTAAAATTTATTTTTTTAACCATTTTTTCCTTTGATGGTCTACATGAATTATACCACCTTGATTTATTTAATCAATAAAAAAAATCATGCAAAGGAGGGTTTTTTTTATGAATGAAAATAGTATGGTAACCCCGCTTGCGCTAACGGGATACGCTGGCGGAACACCAGTGAAGGGTGATAGATGAGAATGAAAACAGGCCAGTTGGCCCATCATGATGAATTCATCAGGAGTTAACCATGATAGTTGAAAAACACCCACGGGAAAAAAAGGAAAACCATGATAGTTTCCAGGGGGAACCGCGAGGTGGTCGACTTGGTCGGGTATATTACTAGCAATGGGATTCTCAGTCTCCATTACTAACAATCCCTTTCCCCCCTATGCAAAGAAGGGTTAAAACGTTCATAACAGTTTAGTAATAAACAATTGTAGTTATATTCTTGTCAAATTAAAGTCGATGTTTAGTATGTAACTACAATTTTATTATTATATAAAGGATAGATGCATCGTGACGTTACGGTTGCGTTGCATCATCATGTTGCATGTTGCACGTTGCACCGCGAAATGTAATCAATATCCATTTTTTATTAAACTGATGTTAAATAAAGACTATCGGGAGTTATACCAGTGGGAGACTTTGTACCAAAGTCGTTTGCTTGTTTGCACTTCTGTCCCATTCGTGTTTCTACCGTGAAGCAGTTGTGTTTGCATGGCTGTGTTTCGGTTTGAAGGGTGGGATGTGGCAGTGAATTTACAGAGTATAGAGGAATAACACCTGAGTCCTCGGGAATGGCAACGCATGGGGGTATCATGGACGAAACAGTATACTCTGTTATGTCCATGGTACTGCTCATGTCTATAGGCGACGGTTACCACTTTCCATCAGGTGGGCCGTCAGCTTGTTTGCCATTTTAAGTTGCATAAAAAAATACTGTAAACAATATGATTTAGCTCGAGTAGTTACCGGAATATATAGAAGCCCTTATACTTGAGTTGTTCATCGCCTACTTTGAATCGTGTTTATGAATAAGGGTTCATATCGACTCCGAAACTAATCGGTTAACCACGAAGTTATTTTATTGAACTAGGTGTTATTTTGTGGAAGTTTGTATCACTAGTAAGTCGATTAGAATTATTTTGCCTGAAGATGCCTCGTTTAGAAACGAAACACGTGTTGCAACATGTGTGTGGACTGGGTAGCGGTCGGAGACTGATGACTAATGTGGAAGGTCGTAGAACTACTAATAATAATAGTAGTAAATCGTCATAATTCTAATCGACTAATCCGAAGTTATTACGTGAATATAGCAGATATGATTTTATTGTTGTTGAATTATAACTATTGCGAATTATACTTTATTGTATTTATTTATGTCAATAGGAGCCCTTATTCAGGAGTGCGGTTCACGGTTGTGTTACGAGCAGCACTACGCGACCAGCGCACCTACTAAATTGATTTTAGAATTATGTATTTAAAAAAATACACTTTAAAAGTTCGCGTTAAAGTATAGCAAGAGTCTCTTGTATATCTGCCTTAACTATTGAGAGCAGCGGATCGTAATCGTAGTTTAAACATTCGAATGCGTAACGTGTATACGATTGGTGGCGTGCGGTGTGCGCAGGCGACATCGGCAACGCGTCGAAGATGAACTCTGTGCTGTCGGTGGTGGGCGGCGTGGCGCTGGCGGCGCTGGCGGAGGGGCTGGCGCTGGCGGACCGCGCGGGGCTGAGCCAGGCCGACCTGCTCGACGTGCTCGCGCTCACGCCGCTCGCCTCGCCGCACCTCATACTCAAGGGCCGCGGTCGGTGTCGCGCGCACGCACGCACGCGCACGCACACGCACACACACGCACACACGCACACACACACACACACACACACACACACACACACACACACACACACACACACACACACACACACACACACACACACACACACACACACACACACACACACACACACACACACACACACACACACACACACGCACACGCACACACACACACACACACACACACACACACACACACACACACACACACACACACACACACACACACACACACACACACACACACACACGCACCACTGACACACACAACAAGTTGGCAAACTCGAAATAGATATCCATGTCGCGATGCTAACGGGTTTCACTTGGCCATCATTTTATTTTATACAGAAATATTTTTTAATAAAATATTAATGAATTTATAAACTGGCAACAATGAGAGATGTAGATGAGGATGAAGTTATGTGGTCCATTGTGATGAATTCTCTTGGAATTAACTAGTGTGAAGATTGACTTGATGGTAGTATAATGTAACAATGAAGCCTTTAGGATCCATTATTAACAATTTCTTCTCTCCCTTTGTATTATTTAGACTTAGACTCAGTCCCATTCTTATTTCTGCTTTAATTGTACTCCCATGATTGTGTTTCGATTGAAAAGACCAGAGAAAGAATGTGGCAGTAAAATTACAGGATATGGGACCGTAACACCTGGTTTTCAGGAATTGCATTGTATAAGGATTATCTTGGGCGTCGCGATGCGTTCTGAAATGTCTATAGTGCCGTTCATGTCTATGGGAATTGGTTACTACCTACTTTCTATCAAGTGGGTTAGTTTTTTCTCTTTTTTCTTTTTTTCTTTGCTAATTCAATTTGTATAGAAAAAATATACTAAACTATTCTAAGACATTTCAATAGACATAGCAGTATACATAACTATCTCCACAAAGTTACGGTCATTACTGTGTTCACAAAATAAATTCACTCCCAATAATAATAATAATAACTCTTTATTGCGCACAATAGAGATGTATACAAGGAGTATTTATACAGAATGTGCATATACAAAAGGCGGCCTTATCGCTAAAGGCAATCTCTTACAGGCAACCTGGCGTAAATAGTAGATAAGTACAGAGATAAAGATAGTTAAAGCAAGTCAGACACAGTAAATACAAAAAAGTAACGTAATAAAGATATTTTCCTTTTATTTTTTACACACCCCTCATAAATAAAAATTTTGTCTGTTTTAAAATTGTCACAATATTGTACACCGCTCTACCCGCTGACATTGATGCTCCTTTCTACTTTGGGTTTTGCTGGAAGAGAACTCTTTTAGAGTTAAGCTCGCCTTTGTACATTTGATTACCTCTGTCATATTTTTATAACTGGTGTGTACAATAAAGAATTAAATAAATAAATAAATATAAAATCATTTGCAAAACCTATTAATCTCAATAATACTTTAATTTTGCAGCGATGATAGAGTCGTCATACTCTACGCACCAGCCGCTGACCCACATGCAGAAGGATCTGAAGCTGGCACTCGGGCTGGGCGACGCGCTAGAACAATCCCTCCCACTCACGGCCACCACCAACGAGATCTTCAAGCACGCCAAGCGGCTCGGCTACGCGAACCACGACGTGGCCGCCGTGTACATCCGCGCTCGCTTCTGATCGCATCCCACTTATCACCCAATAGAATCTGGACCGTTGTACGTGTTCTTGTATAGTTACATTGACATACGGTGAACAATTAGACGCTGTCACGCTAGAAGTGTCCGAGCGGTACTGCTCAAGTACAGGCTTAAGAATAGAGGGTAGAAACAATATTCAATTTCCTTCTAAGAACAAGGAATTACATAGAAGGAGTGATAAAATTGCAATTCATAGCAGCCTAGTGTACAGAAAATGTTATACGGCCGTATAATACTACCAAATTCAGATACAACCTGCTTGCGTACTTTTTACATAAACTGTGTCGAATATATAATCTAGTAATGTAAAATTTGTCATTGACAAATAATTGACATATCAAACATTTTCTATACACTAGCCTGCTATGAATTGAGAAAAATAGCAACTGAGGGTGTATCTTTCGTCCTCTTTTTACTAATTATATTTGCATAAGAACAAAGGTTAAAACTTTTCTATGTAATACCTTGTTTTTAGGTTTCCTTTGTAAATGCAGCAATACCGTCAAAATGTACTCCTTCAGGCAATGGTTAGGAGGTTTGCAACTTTATTCGACAAATATTTTTAATTACCTATCCACAACTCCCACAGACTAGAATTTGAAATGCCCTCCTAAATTATACCAGAATGGCGCAGACCGTCCATAGATTCAAAACTCAAAACGATTTTACAATACAATTGACACTTGAATTACTTATATGTATAATAGTTGCTCTAAGTATATATATATTTATTTATATGTGTATCTATATGTATATATGTTATTTGAAGTATTATTTGTGCACCATATATGTTGTGTTTTATAATACAAATCCTATAAATACATTCTCCTTTCGGGTTCTCGAGGTTGACTGGAAGAAATCCCTTTAAAGGATAAGTCCGCCGTGTGTACATTTTGGTATAACCTAATATCTATATTATAGGTGAATGCACAAAAGCATATAAATAAATATATATTTTTATGGTAAGACGCGATTCACGCGAAATACGCGCGAGAGTGAGCTAGACGCCATGTTTTTACTATGTATGTATGTACATATATATATATATATATATATATATATATATATATATATATATATATATATATATATATATATATATATATATATATATATATATATATATATATATATATATATATATATATATATATATCATTTTTGTGACTTTTCATTTACCACTTTTTACTGCATGATGCGAAAAAATTACAATTAAAAAAATATTATAATTAACACTTTGTGGTTTGTATACCAAGAACTGCGGAAACAAATTTCGGAGATATAAAGCAATGAATTTAAAATACCGGTCGCAAAGATCGGTTCGCGGTTCGTGTGTTAACTGTTAAACAAGGGGGCCATTAGCGAGTTAATTAAATTATTATTGAACCCATGGCATTTTATTTGTTCTACCTGAATATTTATTCTTGTTCTTAGTGGGCAGATTTATAATGGTAAACAGGAGTTTTATGATAAAAAAAAAAAAAAAAAAAAACACTTGTATAAGCCTACTTTAATAAATTTAAATAAATCAATGTTGACTGGAAAAAATCCCTTCAAGGGATAAGTCCGCATCTTAGATTATATAGATAAAGTATCTCAAAAGCTTCGAGAACAGTGGGGTAAATTTTTCATACAATTTTGCGTGATAAATAATTATGAGTGATTTCTTTTTAACTTCTAATTTATTTTGTCTTATAATGTTCGCATCTTTAATGCGTAAAAACTGATTTTATTTATTATATAATTAAATATAGATACGTCAAGATACATTGTGTGCGTAAGTATATAGAACACTGATAAAAAAACGAGTCAGCTAATTTGACAATGCTTACTTTTTTTTTTAATTTTACGACTAATTAATAGACAAAACATAGTCCAATGTGTGGATGCTGAATTAACGGACTATGTATGTATGTAGGAAAATAACATACCACTGCTCGGACACTTCGCGCACGTTTTCCATAGTGGTTGTATATCTAGTTTATACTACATCAATGGGTATTTTATAGCGAATTTGTGTAATATCCATCGCTTATACGAGGGGGATTCTAGGGGGCATCAGTGTCTAGAGTAATGCTCACATTCAGAGTTTGTATTTCTGTATAATGTTTCTTGATTTATATAAATTTATATAGATTTATTTCCATTGTAAACTGTCTAAATACTGTATTGTAAATGGTTATCATGTCTGTTATTTCACGATTAATTTGATATTTTTTATAATAAATTGAAGTTACAATAAAATAAATTGACCATTAACCCTTTGAGTGCCGACGTGCGCCATCGCATTCGTGCGCATTGCAACTAAAAGTGCCACGAGCGTCATAGCGCTCGTGAAATCAGTCGCTATTTAGCCTGCTGTAAAAAAAAATATTAAAGTTTGATAATTTTTGGTGGAGATACAGTTTTTTTAGAGACAAGGGTAAATGACATCAACACGACAAAGATTTCTTTGGCATTTTTAAGTAGATATGAGTAAAAATTAATGGCACTAAATGGGTTAATAAATTGATATGATTATATAATAAATTCACCATTATACAGCAAAAAATGTACAAGGTTATCTATCTATTTTTACAGAATTAAAAACTTACCGTCTGCAGTCCAAAATAAGTGGAAACTTTAGAGAGTGAATACTGGATTTGAACAATTTTAGTATCTACCAATAACCTAAATAAAGGAAATAACCTTATTTCCCTTTGTATTGCTAAGTTTAATGTATTACTACTGTAAATGTTGAAAAAAGTAAATTTCTTTTTTTTTATATATATATATATATATAATATTATAGTTGATTGCATTTATGAAGATAGTTTCATTTTGTCAAATTAGTATATTAGAAATTGGTGTCAGATTCAATATATTCTTGACTTGTCTGATAATAAACTTTATGTATAAACAACATATTACAAATATATATGTATAAATGTCCAAAAGATGTAGTAATGGTAAGTAATTTAATTTTATATTAATATGTATTTTGTATTGTGGCTTTTTATTACTAAACATCACTGTATGTCAAAAAAAAAAGGGTAAAGTAATAGAAAATATAAGAAATAAGTGTACCAATATCAACATTCGTGACAAAGGAGTCACAAGTGTTTTATTTTTGTATTATTTATAGAATATCGTACAATTTCATGATGTCTATACGTTTATTTTAAAGTTACTGTTTCTCTGAAGAATTAAAATTTTTGGTCGAACACGACTACAGCATTTGGTTTTTCTAAAATAGTGATAGAGGATTCTTCAGGGTCGGCAAAGCGCATTGTAATACCTCTGTTATTGCAGGCGTTGATAGGCTACGGTAACCGCTTACTATCAGGTGGGCCGTATACTTGTTTGCCACCTCACTGGTATAAAAAAAAATATGAATTAAATGATTTTGTTTTATATAGAACAGGTGTTGTTTTGAAATCAAGGGATTGCTATTGGGATGTGCTTGTATTGTATTCTAGCTTAGTTCAAACAACAAATAGTATTGATTGCCTCCTATGAAAAGTCGATTCGATTACTAAGAATTCTCCACAAAAATCGTTGGTATATATTTTTTTAGTAAATGCTTAAATCAGATATCAGATAAGATCATATGTATAAATGGAAAATTTTATAATAAAATTCAATGACATGTTTTATTCCATAGTGTAATTTTGGTAGACTATTGAAGAAACTGATTTACATACGGCGTGTAACACTTTAGTTTCCTTTGACCTATAACTGAAGACTCGACTAATTATAAGTCACAACAAAAAATAACTTAATTACGTATTATAACATATGTTTGAAACCTGAATAAAACTATGTTTTAGACTTTTCTATAGATATCATTATTTAGTTTTAAGTAAAAAAAAAAAAAAAAAAAAAGAAAAAAATAAAGATCTAGATAATTACGAATAAATATTTGAAAAAACCACTTGATTCTTATTTATTGACGATCATGTTATATCATTATTGAATTTATGTTTTAAATTTAAAATGATCTAGCGTTTAAATTGATGTATCGGTTTATAATTAGGGTACATTTTCCAAATTTTGTTAATCCACTTATGTGACATATTTTTATCTAATTGCTTGTAAATTACTATTTTATCCATGTGAAATATATTAACCCTTCTTTGTATAATGGTGGAAATTTCCATCGTAACATTGAATGCCCTTAAATTATACATATAAAAGAACAAGTTCACTTAAAGTTGATCGTGTCTGGTTAACTTTTTAATGTGCATTGCAGAAATAAAAACATAGCTCTCAAATTTATTTTTTTAACCATTTTTCCTTTAAATTTTGAAAATGAATTATATCACCTTGATTTATTTCACCAATACAAAAATCATGCAGCGAAGGGTCAAGGTCGTCACTCCATCCAGTTTGGGGGGTCCTCCTACACTGCGTTTCTCTGATTATTTCAGCATAACACAATAAGTAATTAAAGCATTAATAAGTGACGTATTAATTATAAAAAACTGTCATTCTGAAAGTATACAGATGTGAAGGGACTGGTTTTTTATGTCCAGTCTATTTGTTCCCAATAGTGTTTTATTTCATGTTTTGTTAATAACTACACAGCAAGCATGCACGATATATTAGTTAACCGGAGTTCGGTGCCTCATCCGTACCATTAAAACCTCTTTATAATTTATTTCTTGTAATTTTTGTTTTCACTAAGTTTTTATTCTACTGTGATTTTTTGGTGAATGTGATTTTTTTTTTTTTATATTATAACCAACTAACCATGATTTCAATGACGTGACATAGGTGGATAAAAGTGTAACATTACATATTTGTAATAAAACTGCTGTTAATTGTGTAACAACGTGCAGACTAATGTAACTGGAAAATTAATTTGTTAAGTAAGTAAATATTTCAGTATGTAATTTATTATACTCTAACTAGCACATTTTTGTCCTAAGCTCAGTTTACATTAGGAATTGTAACACTCGCATCGATCTCTTACATCAACTACATAATATTCTTGATGAACAACACTTTTTTTTACAATACAGGGGGCAAACGAGCATGCGGCTCACCTGATGGTAAATGACTACCGCTGCCCATGATCACTCACAACACTAAAGTGTGCTGCCGGTCTTTTAAAAAGGAATATGCTTATTTCTTGAAGGTTATGATGTCGTATTGGTAAAATTGTACTTCTCCATTTTTTTTTTTTTATATAATTAACATCGTTAGATAAAATTTCGGAGAAATAAAATAGTCGTTAAAGCCATCATCTGACTATACTATTGAAAAAACTGAAACAATTTCGATATAACTTACGTTTTAATTTCAAATGATGGAACGCAATATTGTCAAATAAAGCAATTGACAATACGAAGTTATATTTGCCGTTCTGTTTTTGACATTTAGTAAAATTGATTGCAGAATAGTGTCGTAATGGAATCGTGTAAACGGTAGCTGTCGAGTGATTAGTTCACATTCAAGTGTTACTAAAGCATTTCAAGTGCGCATTCTAGTTATCTGGGTCTGCACGAACACTTCCTTTTAATTCGTTCGAGAAGTAGTAAAATTTTTAGTATGTATTGTTGCATTTATAAACTGTTCTGTACTAAATCTTTGAATTAAATATTGATCTTAGAATTACTACCATATTCTTAATTTGTATTAATTTTAATTTATGAATTCTTTGAGAAATACATAAAATGGTATAATAAATGATTTAGTAGTAAAACAATTTGTTTAAATTAGCTCTCAAAGAATAAATAATAATTATAAAAATGTAATTTTTATACACTAACGTAATGTAATGTAATTTTAATTTGTACACGCAAAGGTGTACGGGCTAGCGTAGTGGGTGGTATTTTGTTGCGGGCACGCAACCAATCATTTCATTTTTCATTTTGTAAATGACTGACATGATCAGATACAAATAAATTACATAATAATTTATTATTCATTGTTTTATTTATTAATTAGCCCTTTCTTGAATCAGGCATTAATTTTTTTTTTTATACCATTAAGGTGGCGAACAAGCTTACGGCCCACCTGATGGTAAGCGGTTACCGTAGTCTGTGAACGTCTACAATGCCAGAGGTATTACGCGCGCGTTGCCGACCCTGTAGAACCCTCTTCCCCCCCTTCCCCCTTTTGAAGAACCCCATGCTGTAGTAGGAAAACCTCGGCAGGAAGCTCATTCCATAACCTGAGTATTCGTGGAAGAAAACATCTCTGAACCGCGTTGTACGCGACCATTTAGGCTGTAAGGTATGAGGGTAAACTCCTTGTGGATTGTCATGGCCGAAACATACTCTGTTATATCCATAGTACTGCTCATGTCTATAGGCGACGGTTATCACTGTCCATCAGGTGGGCCGTCAACTTGTTTGCCACTTTAAGTTGCATAAAAAAATTATAGTTGTCAGTACCCTGCGGCTTTGCCCGCGTGAATTTGTAATTTATCTTATGTACTAAGCTAGGGTATAAGCTATCCGTTTACCAAAATTTAATTCTAAACCGGTCAGTAATTTTGGCGTGACATTGTTTGCTACATTCTGTAAAACTTACACATTATAGTAATAGATAGGTAAGTAAGAATTTTGCTTTTTTTCTCCTAGAATTTGACATTTTACATAGAAATCGGAACTGTACATGCCATCTTTACGGCAGGTCTTTTCCAGAGGGTAGACACATCGATTCTGTATTGTCTATAAAAAGGAACGTTCAATAAAGCATTACATATAAACGGATAATTGGTATTGACCTTGCAACCTCCACAGCAAGTTTACGACGAAGTAGTTCGGATAAAAATACAACGATTTCATGATTTACGTAGTTCGCTCACGCCACGGCACGTCTGCGGTTCCTTTGGTTTACCACGACGTGGAACATCCCTCGCGGTACATTATCTACGCACGCATTCGCCATGAAAAAAAAAAGGTCGACATTTGCTTTTTTATGTATGTTGGTATGACATGGCATATATAATCATCGCCTATAGTTATAAACATATTGTAATAGTATGTAATAATATATAATTAAGAACTGGAAAATAAATAACAAAAATAAATAAAAAAACAGAATGATATTGTACCTGAGAATAATAGAACACAAAACTGATTCATATGCGAGGATGTGGACGGTACTGTACAATAAAAATAACTATGCCGAGCGACTATGGTACTTCGACAAACCAAAACTGATTCAAACTGAGGACAAAAATTGATGGAAATTTGAAATAAACCAATAAGATCGTTACAACAAATGGGAAAAAGTGGAATGAAAAATGAGGAATAAAAGGAAACATGGTAGTAAAGAGTGGGGAAAACTTGGAAGGAAAAAAAAAATAGCTAAAAAACCTGGAAATTAATAACCGGGAATAAGCTGAACTGCTACGGGGGGGGGGGGGTTACAAGTAAAACGGGAGTATAATGGATGATAACGGAACAGTAACCCCTCCTGCACTAACGGTATACGCTGGCAGGGCACCAGCGAGGGTGATGAGATGAGATGATAGATGAGAATGAAAAAGGCAAGTCAGTTAGCCCATCGTAATAAATACACCTGAAATTCAGCACGATGGTTTCCATGGGGGATCACGTGGAGGTCGACCTGTCAGGGTATATTGCTAGCTATGGGACTCATAGTACGCATTACTAAGAATCCTTTCATTCTAAACAGGAGTATAGGAAAATGTTTAAATGATGATGGATGATGGAGACTATACCATAGCAGTTCATTGAGGTCTCTTTGCTGGGCATGGGCTTTTATAAATTACTGATATTAGTAAAGAAAAACAGGATGTATTATATGTGTAGGGATGTTATCAAAATGCTATTGAAATGCGTGTAACCAGAAACATATATAGAGCACCCCTATAAAAAGCAGACATCACGCAAACCTGCGATAACTATAAAAAAAATCTTATTATGGACGCTACAATAGGGCAAATTACCAAGCGACTCGTCAGCTGACTTCGTTTCAGTCGCTTTTGTAAATCGAAACTTGTCGCATTATGAACTTTTTTTGTCTTTAAAATTTAATAAAGATATATATAAAAAAAAATGACGTCACCATTATACGTCAAATGTGAATTGACAATTGACTTTTTCTAAATTTATTTTGCAACAAAAAAAGGATTTCTAATTAAAAGTACAGCGTGCAAAATGTCGTTTTTAACGGAATATTTCGACGAGTATCGACAGCATCCTATTAGGAAAACTAAAATGTTAGTATTATGTTAATATTGTTTTATTAAAATAAAAAAATAAAAATAAAACTTAATTGTGAGTTTATAACACGTTACCTATGTTATCTTATCTTATTTTTCGCAGCTAAGCCATTGCACGTCGACCCATCGGGATCTTTTGTGCTTCCCCCTGCCTTATACCATCATTTCATAGATCCTTTATGTTACCCTAACGATATCCCGCGGTTTGAGATATCTGTAGTCCCTTGGTTCTGGATAAGCCGTTCCCAGTAGACTCATACGCATGCTCGCTAACGAATCACAGTTGCACATCAAGTGTTCCATGGATTCCGATTTCTCCCCGCACAGTCTCACAGTTATCTGGTGGTGTACCATGAAATGAAATTTCGAATTTTCGGGCTTAATTTCGTGTTTTTGTTCGTACCGAAATCGACCCAGTAAATGGAGCTTAACATTTCGTACATCATAATTTCTATCCTAATAGTCCAGAGGAACGATATTTTAACATTTTTAAATAATTTTAAACGGCATGTATTATGTAATTTTAACATCAAATTTCTGTTTCGTTCGTCCCCGAAATTTCGGAAATCATTTCATGGTAGGCCTACTGGTTATAGAGTGTATGTAGGTAGATATATTTATTTTATAAGTTAAAGTATGTGAATTTTATTTTTTAAATGTTATTAACTGTAAGTCGCCGTGTGCTCCTGGCATAGAATAAGCCCCCCATTCTTTGGCGTTCGTAAAAGGCGACTAAGGGGGGGGGGGGCGAGAGATGGGCAGCAGCGTCCTTCTTAAAACATATCTACAAGCCTAACTGCGGTTGCCAACCCGTGTACCAAGCATGCCAAGAGAACATGCTAGAACTGTATAGGTTCATCATCTAACATGATAGTCCGGGGGGGATTGTTACTAATGCGGACTGCCAGTCCGATTGCTAGCCTTACAGGTATATACTTATACCCTGACAGGTCGACCTCCTCGTGGTCCCCCTTGGAAACCATCGTGCTGAATTCCAGGTGTATTCATCACGATGGGCTAACTGACCTGTCTTTTCATTCTCACCTATCATCTCTCACTGATGCCCCGCCAGCGTATACCGTTAGCGCAGGCAGGGTTACCATACCATTATCATCCATTAAAAAAAATGATAGTCCGATAACAATGGTTACTTCCTACTTTTTTTTTTCTAATTGACATTTAAATTTATGCTTTTTCAATGGTTGGCTTCTCTAGGTGCCGGCCAGAAAACCGATGGGCAAAGCTGGAAGGAAAATGGCTGGACCCAAAAATTGGAACGCAAGACGTGAGTTTCCTTTATATCCACAATAACATATTTTTTTTAACGTTAACTACTGGATTATGTCCAGCAGTGGACAGTTAACGGCTTCCCCATAAGGAGTATTTTGCATAGTAGTTGCCACGCTTGGCAAGCGGAATGGCAACCGCGGTTAGGCTTATAGAGATGTTTTACGAGAGATGCTGCTGCTCATCCCTCGCCCTCACATAGTCGTGTCTTACGACACCCACGAGAAAGAAAGGGGTGATCCATTCTATGCCGGGGCATACACGGCGAGACCCAAATATGTTATGTTACCTAGGTATGCAAAAAATATTTTTGACGTAAAATTTTGCTAAATACCATTGGCGCATTTAATTTCAAGGGAGGGCTTTTTTTAATGGTTGATAATGGGTAAATACGCTGGTGGAGCACCAGTGAGATATAGGTGAGGATGAAACTAACTGGTGAGTCGGCAACTGAAGTTTTTTTTTGATGGGTGAAAATGGTATGGTAACTCCCCCTGCACTAATGGGATATGCTGGCGGAGTACCAGTGAAGGGTGATAGATGAGAATGAAAACAGGCCAGTTAGCCCATCACGATGAATTCGTCAGGAATTAACCATGATAGTTTTCAGGGAGAACCGCGAGGAGGTCGACCTGGTTGGGTATATTGCTAGCAATGGGATTCTCAGTCTCTATTACTAACAATCCCTTTCCCCCCGGCAACTGCAGTTAGTTTTTGAAGATATCTAAGGGGGACGCTGTTGCTTATCACTCGATCTTTAGGTTTCCTTAGTCGTCTCTTACGATACTCACTTGAAAGGAAGGGGAAAGGTGCCTATATCTGATAAATATTATGAGCTAGTTGGTGTTTTCCATATTTTTTTGCTGTCAAGTGTTTCATAATTCATAATTTTCTAGTTTGTTAACAAATCCAATAACACCTAATGGTCAGATATTATATTATTATAATTTTATAGAAAGCTTGGACGGATGAAGAGATTGAACAGTTCATAAAGAGTACAATGAAGAGTTTACGCGGACAGTCAACATATTATAATGACTTCTGTGCACACCTGTCACAAGGTTTGTAAAACTCAACTTGGAATAGGTCTACGACAGGGCCGTTGCTAGACCCAAGATTAAAGTAAGGCAAAAGAACTTTTTTGGTAAGGCAGAAGCCATAATTAAGTAACTTCGAAACAGCGAATCTGACTAATTTTCTTGGGGCCTTTCATTTTAAGGTAGGGCTTTGGGCTTTATAAGTTAGGGCATTGTCCCTCAATGCTACCTCCCCCTAGCTGCGGCCATGGTTTGTAAATATGATACCTGCACGCTCTTGGTGCAGCTGCAAGTAAGAAGCAAACGAAGGTAGATTACCATATTGTTTCTTGTTTGCTTCTTAATGAGAGGCTGGTGCATGATTCGCACGTTATTGGCTTTGAGAAAACTTCTTACAAAATCTTATGCAATGCGAAATACACGCCTCAATTCATAATTTATTGAATCCAGATTCGTCTCAATTTCGTTTGTACAATTGCTATTATATTAAATTCATTTATTAATTGCACTCATTTTGTTTTTTTTTTCATCAAGAATTCTTAATTTGAAATAAAGAGACAAAATACAATAGCTATATTAATTTAATAGCCAATATTGTACGAGAACAGAAGAGAAGAACTAATATAAATGGTAAGTAATGCCTATTCAACAGATTTCAAGACTAGACCCTTTAAACCTCGAGAGAAGAAACGCCAACCATGCGTGTCTAAAGGCGAGAAGGTAGTTAAAGAAGATTTTGCTCCTGTAACCGAAGCCCCGAAGTTGGCCATCAAGGATACGGAGTTAATGAAGATGGCTCGGGACATTTATGAACGGGACTTGAACAAACCGACGCTGGAACCCTTGCCAACGCACATGAGAAGTGAGTTTTTTTTGTAATTGAATTGGAACGAGTGATTCGTGTCCAGTAGTGGGACGTTAATGTATTGTTATGAGGAGTTAAACTTATTTTTTAGTAAAAGAAATAGCTAAAGAGTTTTTAATATAAGGATGTACTCCAGTAAAGGGCAAGATTCACAAATTTTCATATTACCTTTTTAGATAGTAGGTATTAAATAAACCGATAAATATTGTTTCGTTCTTTACCGCCATCTACCAGCGGGTAAATTTTTATTTATTGAGATAATAATTTAAAATTGTGTTTTATAAAAAAGCCGATTTTATTTGTGGTAGTTAACCAGTTATTTTGTTTTATAAATTAAACTGTTAAACCGTTTGTGGTAAAATGTCTGTAGGCCAATCTGTAAGAATGTTTTCTTTTATGAAACTTACAATAGCAAACAAGCTGACGATCCACCTGATGGAAAGTGGTAACCGTCGCCTATAGACATAAGCAGTACCATGGACATAACAGAGTATATTGTTTCGCCCATGATACCCCCAATACGTTGCCATTCCTGAGGATTCAGGTGTTATTCCTCTGTGCCCTGTAAATTCACTGCCATATCCCACCCTTCAAACTGAAATACAGTCATGCAAACACAGCTGCTTTACGGTAGAAACACGAATGGGGCACAGGTGCCCAAGCAAACGATTTTGTACAAAGTAAATGGTAAATGTCCTTTCACATGAAGAAAAAAATTTACAAATTGGTTTATGGTATTTATGGTATTAGTTATGAGATAAAAAACATAAAAAAAATACAACTGTATCGAGAACAACTTTCTTGTTGAAGTCAATTTAAAACTATCTTATCTGTCAAGTTAGAACAAACGATTTTATATTTGCAAAATTTTATTAAAGTCGGTCACGTTATTTCGGAGATTACTGTAAACGAAAATTATTATACAGGATTTTACATATTAAGATTTCGATATATATGTATTGATTGGTTTTAAATCTAAATTCTCATTCGTGTTTCAACCGTGAAGCAGTTGTGTTTGCATGGCTGTGTTGCGGTTTGAAGGGCGGGATATGGCGTGAATTTACTGGGTACAGAGGAATAACACCTGAGTCCTCAGGAATGGCAACGCATGGGGGGTATCATGGGCGAAACAGTATACTCTGTAATGTCCATGGTACTGCTCATGTCTATAGGCGACGGTTACCACTTTACAGGTGGGCCGTCAGCTTGTTTGCCATTTTAAGTTGTATATAATATATATAATATATATATATATATATATATATATATATATATATATATATATATATATATATATAGATATATATATATATATATATATATATATATATATATATATATATATATATGTTGTGCATAACATTATTGCAAACAAATATAACCGGTACATTGCATGGCCACATAAATACACCATACACCGAATAACTCGGATCACTCGAATACCACAACCATGTTTATTTTTTATTCTTTTAAATGAAAAATTAAACTTCGCAGCTGGGTAGATAGTTAAAATGGCGTCAATTAGTTTTATTGTCGTTTACAAGTAATTGAAAGAAAGAAAAAATTTGTCGCCAGCAACAAAAATAATTGTATTTTAATATGACAATAAAATAAATAAAAAAGCATTATACTTATTAATAATAGAAAACATACTTCGCATTGTTTGTTGTTGCAACGTAGCCGTCACTAAGCATGCGCTGTAGTATATTAATTGTAAATTAATTTGTTAATGTGTCTATCTATATGACACAGTATTGTAATTTTTGTAGCTGCATGAAATTATAAACAGATTGCATGACCTTTACAAATTTTTGACAAATTTCTTCATAAGTATGTTATATATGAATTTTCCGTATTTGGATTACGTGGAATTATTGTAAGTTACAAGTATCTATAAATATTTGTATGTAAGAATAAAAATTATTCAGTTTCTCTGTCTATCCTGTAGGAAATGGCGTGAAGATAAAGTAATTGTTTAAATATTAATTAATAACATGTTTTTTCGCACAGTTCTTGGCTACGTACGACCTTGCCTCTACAAGACAGGCATTAGTGACTACCAGGAGAGCATAGCTCGCCTGGCGTACGAGTTGATCCGAGATGACCGTATACCGCGGTACCACGCGCACAATGGTTGCCGTCCGCGCTGGGGTCTACCACCGGAAGGCGAGCGGCAACCTGAGCTTGACGGGGCGCCATACGACGGGGAGAGGCTGTATTAATATTTATAGCAGAGTTTTTTGTTGCTTCATATTGTATTTTTAAGGCTAGCAACACATTGAACGATTTGTCGTGTTGGAGCACCAGCATATATAAGTTATTATTGATAGGTTTGGGTAATATCAGCACCGTTATCAGCTCCGATATCTATATATAGAGTTCCTTTAGGCATTAATGCCGGGAGAAGGATCATACATCATCCATTCCGATATCGCCCATACCGGTAGATTATCTGGGGGCCTACCATGAAGTATTTTCCGAAATTTCGGGCACGAACGAAACAGAAATTTGATGTTAATATTACATAAAACATGCCGTTCAAAATTATTAAAAATGTTAAAATATCGTTCCTTTGAACTATTAGAATAGGATTTATGATGAACGAAATGTTAAGCTCTATTTACTGGGTCGATTTTTATACGAACAAAAACACGATATTGAGCCCGAAATTTCGGAATTTCATTTCATGGTAGACCACCTGTATTTATTTCGATCGAATGCTATATTTAGATATTACATATTTATTGTATTATCTTATCAGCCTTTAACTGTCCATTGCTAAACATAACTCTCACTTGAAGAGGTTCTGCCAGTAGTTGCCACGCTTGGCAGGCGGATTGGTAACTGCAGTTAGACTTTGGAGATGTTTTAATAGGGACGCTGCCTATCCCTCGCTCTCCCTTAGTCGCCTCTTACGACACTTACGGCAAGGAAGGGCTGGGTTATTCTATACCGGACTATGCGGCAAATATATTGAATAACCAATTTTATATATATATATATATATATTTATATATATTATGTATGTATGTATATATATTATATATATATATATATATATATATATATATATATATATATATATATATATATATATATATATATATTGCTAATAATTAGGCACCCCTAATTATTGAGCATACTACTTGAAACACCTGTTGTTTGTTTAGGACCGAATTAAACTGCTCGCACTTGGTATTCTCAACTTGTCATTTTCGTCATTCGGGAGAGTACATTTTCTAATACAGTACGCCATGTTTGACAGACAGTCCGCATGGATTGTATGTTTAACACTGGAGCTGGCGATCGCAGTTAGGTTGCAAATTTACCGCCGCGGAATATCCGCGATGGAAAAGTTTGTTAATGTGGCGCTAGCCTAAATTTACAGATATAGAATGGTATTTTGTCTTTACAATTTACTTATAAATTTACAATTTTACAAATGGAATAACAAATTATTACCTATTTATATGCTTTTATCATAATAATGGAACGAAATTCAATCTAATTACTACCACGATAGCTGTTTTGAAATATATGTTGTAAATAATTTTCGGCTCGAATTACTGACGCACTATCTGCATTATCTATACATAGGGCTCATCCATATTTTAATGAGCAGTTTGCAGTTTAAAATTTACACGAATGTTTCATTTACTTTCTAGATAGATTGTTGTCGCTTAAAGTTCTTATTAAAAGAGAGTCGCATAATATAATTTCTATCTCTTCGCATTTTCCACCAAAAGATAACGATTATCATCATTATTTTAGCCATTATCTGTCTACCAACATAGATCTCCCCCATAGACTATCATAAGGAACGGTCCAAGGTCACCTGCATCCACTCCCTACAATGCATTTAATGTTATCACGCCATCTAGTGGAGAGTTGATCTACATTGCGTTGGCCTATACAGGTCGCCACTCAAAAACCTTTCTTCCCCATCGATTGTCGGTTCTTCTTGCTATGTGACCAGCCTATTGCCACTTCAGCTTGCTAACAATGGCAAAGATAATTGAATTGATAGATTCAGAGTGTTATAAATAGATAAAAAAAGGATATGAATACAATAAATAATTCTGTAATATTGCGGGTACGCCTGTCAAAGAATAAAAGAGTGTTGAATTTTTATAACGACCTATTTATATTGTCTAGAAAATTATTACATTACAATTATATTATTTACTTAATTTTAGCATATTTTGTATAAATTTACTATTATATTAATGTATGATTTACCAGATTGTAATAAGTATGAAAGTTGATTAAATATAGTAAGTCAATATGTCTTTCAATTAGAAAAATAATAAATTATATCTCAAAGGAAAGAAAATAATTAACAGCAGGTAAATAAATGTAAGTTTGGAATCAGTGCACTAAATTCCTGTATGTGTCAGAGGGAGGTGAAGTGCGCTGAGAGATATCTCGTTACAGCCGATTGATGACGCCACATAAAAATGTTTATCCACCGAGATGTAAGAATAGAACATGCCTGCATTATAAAGTGCCATTAACACTTTATTGCGAGGAAGTAAAAATAGAACATTTATTGGTAAATAATTTATATAACTGCTAGTAATACTAATGAGGAAGTACTATAGCTTTTTTATTATCGTAATACGTGGGAGACAAGAGAAAATTTTTGGTATCAATATATAATAGATAATCTTTTTTTTTATACAACTTGGAAATTGGTAACCGTCGGATATAGACATGAGCAGTACCATGGACATATTTCGCCCATGATACCCCCCCCCCCCATGCGTTGCCATTCCTGAGGACTCAGATGTTATTCGTCTGTACCCTGTAAATTCACGCTATATCCCACCCTTCAAACCGAAACACAGCCATGCAAACAACTGCTTCACGGTTGAAACACAAATGGAACAGAGGTACCCAAGCAAACGACTTTTGTACAAAGTCTCCCTCTGGTATAAATATGGCGGAGTGAATTTTGATGTAGTCGAATTCGAATCGAATCGAATAAACATTAAGTCAGCGTTATCTTATCTTATATTTGACGTCTGTTCGATGAGATTTCGATTTGATCCTAATCTGTACAATTACTCAGCCTGAACTATTAGACATTTATATGCTACATCAAAGCAGGTATTTATTGGAAGCCTATTTATATTGGCTGATATTTTTATTGTGAATATACAAAACAAAAGATTTTTTTTTTATTAAACAAAATGATGAACATAAAAACAGGCTTATCTGTCTATTAGCATTTGAGTATACATAAAAATATGAAACAATTTACGATTACAATATACGTTTTTCGAAAGTCATTTTTGTGGCGTATTACTGACCGTCATGATAAGCCTATAATATTTTTCTACTGATTTTTATTTATTTATTTATTCATTAGTACAAATATGTGTACATGGCGGACTTAATGCTAAAAGCATTCTCTCCCAGTCAATAATAGGGAAGTGTTAATACTCGAATGCGGTACTACTAATTATTGATATACATACATACTAAAATTATATATGTTATATAAACGAATAAATATATATAAATAACAAATATACTTACACATATATGACATATACTATATTATACACTAAATTGAGAATAATATAAAGCACTTACTGCTCACATAAAGATAAAAAATGAGCTTGAACGTTTTTTTTTTGAAAGATGATGTTTAGTAGATTTTTATTCTTCTAGATAAAAGAGAATTACATAATCAAGCATTTTAATTACCTTACTTTATTGTTTCTTTTAATTTTAATAAATAAAAGCTTTGAGATGGAATAGAGATATTGTTAATATAACATCTCTATGTGGTTTATACAATCGAATGCAAGCGCGTTTTTCATGATTTATAAAAATAGTTGAAGCTCACGGAAGAATTCAGCAGAAGTGGACACTCAAGGTCATTACTAAGTGTGCACAGGTGCTGTTGTAATCTTGCAAAGATTTCATTTTGTTGGATTTTTATTGCTAGAAGAAGGTATATAGATATGTCAGTTTTTTTGTGAAATATTATTTGCCGAGCTGTTACATTTATTTATTTATTTATTCTTTATATGTACAATAAAAAATTACAAATATATATTAAATAAAGATGTACAACAGACGAGGTTAACTCTGTAAGAGTTCTCTTCCAGTAAACCCTGAGTGGAGCGGAGCATTCATTACCAACAGGCAGTTATTACATTAACAGGCAATTATTACGGTAGTACATCTGTGATTTTTATAAACAATTATTAAAATAAATGATAAAGTTTCTATGGGGCCAATGTGTAAGTATAGGGGGAGAAGGGTTTGTCAGTAATTTATTTATTTATTTATTTTTAATAAGGCACACATAACAAATTATAACCTTTTGTTAGGTTTATATATAGGTAATTATGGTGTTAATGCTAGGTTATAATTCAAAAACATGTGTACACAACATGATTAACATTTAAACATAACATTTCAATTTCGACACGTGGAAGACATATTAATTAGTAAACATTATATACATATACCATAATTTACATTAAAAGAAATTTAAACCATAAATGCGGAATACCAATTCCATTGCTAGCAATATACCCTGTCAGGTCGACATCTCCACGGCCCCTCCCCCCTTGGAAACCATCGTGCTGAATTTCAGGTATAATCTTCATGATGGGCTAACTGACGTGGCTTTCTATCTCACCTATTATTTCTCACTGGTGCCCCGCTGCAGGATTAGCAACCGCAGATAGGCTTTAAAGGTGTTTTAAGAGGGACGCTGGTAGAGCTTTATAGGGAGCTTGGTAGGGCAAACAAGCTGACGCCCCACCTGATGGAGAGTGGTAACCGTCGCCTATAGACATGAGCAGTGCCATGGACACAACAGAGTATACTGTTTCGCCCATGATACCTTCCATGCGTTGCAATTCATGAGGACTCGGATGTTATTCCTCTGTATCCTGTAAATTCACTGCTATATCCCACCCTTTCGAAACACAGCCATGCAAACACAACTGCTTCACGGTAAAAACAGAAATGGGACAGAGGTGCCCAAGCAAATGAATATATATATATTTATATAACGGTAATGAAGTCCCATAATATCAATGCATGTTTGATTTTAGTTCATAGAAATATAACGTAGTAACTCCACTAAATAAATATTTTCCTAAATAAATATTCTTAAATTAAAGAAATTATATCAGGTGGCACGCCTCTAATAAATTTTCCTTAAAATAACCAATCGTAAATTTGCCAAAAATTAGATGTTTACCGTGAAAACCGACCCCTTCTGGTCGCATATTAAAAGTGTGCGATAAATTTACAATTTCCAAGAAGATTTACTTTTGCGGCGATAAAGATGTGTCTTTGTGAGAATTTTACAAAGGTAGGGTTGTCAGTTTCATCCGGGACTTAGTTCACGTGACCGGAATATTTATTTATTTATTTATATTTTAAAATATGTCTACAGGGCGCAAATTATGATTGTCCGGGATACTCTATGTTCTTCTCCAACTCACGATGGAGAAGGATATAGTCAGATCTTAGGTGTTAAGATGTTCTCGCTGCCGAATATAGTTCGGAGGATGGGCAGTAGCGAGAGGTCGTGGAATGTAATGCTCACCTTCTGTGAAGCGGTGATGTCGCAGAAGGAGGCGGCCGAGCGGGAGCGGGAGAGTGCCCCCACCGCTCCCGTCATGCGCCGCCGCCGAGCCAGATGAAGGAGAAGGGGTGCGCCCAACTCTGCCTCTTCCTCCCCCCCACTAGGATCAGGGTGTTGCCTTGAGGGAGGCACACACTACATATGACCCTAGGAGGTGTGCGCACGTTTCCGTGCCCTCCTGTGATGGTAGCGTGGGAGGGACATTCCCCACTCTAACTAAGAGAGGAGGCCTGCCTTACACCACCTACAGGGCGGGCCGTCGCGTTGGATACTCGGTAGTCGTACAAACGGGAACCCGGGATCCAACATACGCGCCTCGAGGTATGTCGTGTGGTTTTTAGTGGGCACGAATCCC